TTTTTTTACATCCGTCACTGCCACCTGGTTCTTAAAACTAAAGGTTTTTCTAAAGCCCATTCTAAATAATTATATTTGATTCTATTATTTTCTTAGATATCTATGCTGAGCGTGTTTTAAATGGAGGAAGTCTGACTTCCACCTCTGGACAATTTAGAGAAAAACATTTTATTTTGCTGAATACACATCTTCTTTCTCAGGTTAAGATTGTCGAATCTGTTAACGGGATGGGAAGGAGTGAGCTTACATTTTCTTTCTTTCTTTTTTTTTTTTTGAGAAGTTTTGGATATAGGGTGCATGCAGTTGCCAGAAAGACAGAGAGAGATAGAGACAGAAGATGAGAAATCACCCCCCAGGGGGAATGGCCACATCACAATCCCTTCTCCTCTCTGGATCTTAGGCATTGCAAACACACCCACCAGGCATGAATTTAAGCCCCTGGGTCCGGGACTCAAATCATAGTTGACTACATGGGAGTCCAGCGATATAGCCATTATTCCAACTGCTGGTCCCCCAAGCTGACATTTGTAAGCAACCCTGGGCGATGAATATGGTGGTTTCTTTCATGGGTGTTGACAGCATCCTGGCGCCCACTGAAGCTTGTATGGAAATGTTACTTGCCTCTTGAATGCTCTGTTTTAAATTTGGCTTATGTGTTCATTGTCATCAGAAGGAGCAAAGGCCCGTGCAGATGATGTTTCAGAAAGCGACCTTCAACATGGCGTGTGTCAGCGAGGTGCAGGCCCAGCTGCTGGAGCTGCCGTATGCGGGGCAGGAGCTGAGCATGCTGGTTCTGCTGCCTGATGACGGTGTGGATCTCAGTTCGGTGAGACTGCTGGGGATTGGCTGGCCTTCCCACTCTGCATTTCTGCCAAGAAGGGGGTGACATCTTCCACCGCCTTCTTACCCAGACAGAACTCAGCACTGCCTCCACCTCCTGGCCTTGCCTTTCGTGTTGGAAAACCCAGCGTGTGGGCACTTGACTTTGGACAGAACCTTTGCTCAAGGCCAGCTTGCCCATTGTTATCTGCATGACCTTACTAAATTTCAGCCTCTGTTTTCTCATCCTCAGAATGGGGTAGTAATGTCTTCTGGATAAGATTAATATGAGGATAAATTGGGGGATAATCCAGGAACCAAGCTTAGCAGGATTATCTGGCAAACAGTAAACTCACTGTAAATGAGATCCATGATTGTCATAATCATTGCTATTGGCATCATATTTTAAAATCTAAGGACTGGGCCAGGTTGTAGCATGGTGGTTAACAAGACTAGACCCCAACATGGCCATCTGCATGCTTTGAGCCCAGACCTGGTAGCTTGAAAAACACACGGGGTGCGTGTGTGTGTGCACCCAAAATCTTGAGAAGAGAACGGCGAAGGGATTGTGGTGTGGTTGTCCTCCTAAGGGATGATTACTCGCTTCTCTCTGTGTGTCTCTCTTCAGCAAGCACAATTGCCCTGTAGCCAAACCTAAAATATAAGAACCTGGAGGCCTGGAGGTGGTGTCACGTGGTTGTGCAATACTCTGTCAAACCTGACTTGGAAGATCAGGATTTGGTTCCTGTTGACCCGTACACTCTGAGGGTGCTTGTGATCATGGAAGGCTGAAAGGCTGGGGAGAGAGGGATGATAGCATGAGATCTTGTTGAGGGTGCTTGTCTTTCTGTCTCTTTCTGTCTCTGACTCTCTCTCATGAAATAAATAACAAAACTTAAAAAACATAGTATTAGGGGCTGACAGGTGGTGCAGTGGTTAAGGTGCAGGAGTCTCACGTGTCTGACTGTGGTTCGATTCCTGAACCTGGAAGCTTGCTTTCTCACTTCCTCTTTCTCTATCTCTGGTCAAATTAAAAAATAATAACAAATGGAATTAAATAAATAAATATTTTAAAAAATGATTTCTTGAAAGTGTTTTGGGAGGAGAGGACAGCCACAGACTTCCTGTCTGTGGGCTTCTTGGAGTCTCCCTACTTGTCACAGAAGTGGTGTTTGGAATAGCACATGGGACTCACGGTGAGGAGCAGAGCACACCACTTCCTGGCAGTTCATCTGCAACCAGGAGACATGGGTGTTGGCGTGGGTGTGAGTACGGTATGTGCTTGTACAATCACAGTAAAACCTGACGCTTAAAGTCTAATTCTGGTCTTTCAGGTGGAAGAAAGCCTCACTTTTGAGAAAGTGATGGCCTGGACCAAGCCAGAGTGTATGAGGAGTACCGACGTTGAAGTTTTCCTCCCAACATTTAAGCTGCAAGAGAATTACGACATGGAATCTGTGCTTCAGCATTTGGGAATAGTTGATGCCTTCGCCCAGGGCAAGGCTGACTTGTCGGCAATGGCAGCTGAGACTGATCTGTGTCTGTCCAAGTTTATGCACAAGAGTTTTGTGGAGGTGAACGAGGAAGGCACGGAGGCAGCAGCAGCTTCGGCAGTTATGTTTGTAGAATATTGCCTGGTCTCTCGACCCCGGTTCTGTGCTGACCACCCCTTCCTCTTCTTCATCAGGCACAACAGAACTAACACCCTTCTGTTCTGTGGCAGGTTCTCATCCCCGTAGGGGTGTGCTTACTGCGCGTGGAAGTGTTTCCCTCTTCCTGTGTCCCAGATCCTTGTCTATACCTCAGCAAGGATCTGGAAAGCCAAGTGCAAAGAGGAGGGTGGATATTTCATTTGTCTGAACGGTTTTCCAGCCTAATATCGTGATGCTGCATACTCTGCTGTCCCCATGCTGACCACTCATTTCTGCTCCTTATTCAAGATCCTAGGACAACAGATGCTGTTGTATTTGAGATGCACTTCAAACCCCATAGGAGTTTTGGAGTACACTGAGTTTAGGTGCACAGTTTTCCTAGGTGGTCCCTAATGCATTTCTCTCATTCCATGTGCAAATCCTAGCCATTACACTGTGCTTTCCAGATGCCTCAACGTTTTTTTTAGTTTATGTTTTTATTATCATCATAATCTTGTTTACATTACATTGGATTGCATATAAGTTTATGGTGTATTACATTACTTTTTCGAAAGGGAATGCCATGCATGTCAGTCAATACAGAGACATTAATCTCCCCACTTCATCATTCAATATCTTTTCAATGTTTTTCCCAATCATTATTATTATTATTCTAATTTTTTTAAACATTCAATCACTATTTCTCATTTTGATTGTAAAAAAACTTTGCCCATCATGAAATACTTCTCAGACCAGTTCACTTGAGAATACTATACATGCCATCATCAACAGGTAATAAGCCCTATCTGTTTCCCAATAACTTCCTGCCTCTCTACTTGTTCTCTTGCTATCTTTCTCTGTCCTCTTCTCTTTGTCCCCTCCATTCCACACTATCTTATTCTCGTTAAGTACTTTCACTGCTTTTATGTCCTCCAATATTTCACTCTCTACCATACGTGGATAGTTGGTATATATTAAGTGGATACATACAATATCTTTCTTTCATAGCCTGGCTTACTTCACTCAGCAATAGATCCTCCATATCTGGTCACTTTCTATCAAATGCCAGGGTCTTGTTATTTTTTATGACTGAGTGGTATTCCATAGAGTATATATAGCACATTTTTCCAATCCATTCACCAGTTTGTGGACATTTAGGTTGGTTCCATGTCTTGGCAATTGTGAATAATGCTGCAAAAAACATTGATGTGCAAGCACTTTTCCGACTGAGCATTCTCCTGTCCTTTGGGTAGATACCCAGAAGTAGGATTGCTAGATCAAATGGTAGTTCTATTTGTAGATCTTTGAGGAACCTCCATATTGTTCTCCACAGTGGTTGAACCAGTTTACATTCCCACCAACAGTGTAGGAGGGTTCCCTTTTCACCATATCCCCATCAACACTTATCACTTTTTATATTATTAATCTTTGCCATTCTGACAGGCGTTAGGTGGTAGCTCATTGTGGTTTTTATCTGCATCTCCCTTATGATGAGGGATGTTGAGTATTTCCTCACATGGTTTTTGGCTGTTCATATGTCTTCCTTAGAGAGATTTTTGTTCAGCTCATTTTCCCATCTTTTAATTGGTTTAATATTTTTTTTTCTCATAAGGCACTTGAGTTCCCTGTGTATTCTGGTTATCAGACCCTTGTCTGAGGCATATTTAACAAAAATATTTTTCCATTCTGAGTGTTGTCGGTTCACACTTGTTACTGTGTCCTTTGCTGTGCAGAAACTTTTTAGTCTGATATAGTCCCACTTGTCTATTTTAGGGATTATTACCTGTGCTTTGGGAGTCTTATTTAAGAAGTCTTTAAATGGATTGATCAGTTGGCTGTAAGCTTTGGGGGTTATTTCTGGGGTCTCTATTCTATTCCATTGGTCCACATGTCTGTTTTTATGCCAGTACCAAGCTGTTTTGATGATCACAGCTTTGTACTATATCTTGGGGTCAGGGAGTGATATGCCTCCTACTGTATCCTTCTTGTGCAGGATTGCTTTTGCAATATGACGTCTTTTATGATTCCAGACAAATTCTATGATTGTCTTTTCTATATCTGTGAATAATATTTCTAGTATTTTGATTGGAATTGCATTAAACATGTAGATTAATTTGGGGAGAATTGCCATTTAGCTTATGCTAATTCTTCCAATCCAGGAACAGGGGATGTCCTTCCACTTTTTTACGTCACTTTCAATATATTTTTTAAGATTTTTATAGTTTTCCTTATAAAGGTCTTTGACTTTCTTAGTTAGGTTTATGCCTAGGTATCTTTTACATCTTGTGGCTATGGTGAAAGGGATTCCTTTCTTCAGCTCTACTTTGTTCAACTTGTTGTTTACAAATAGAAATGCTATAGACTTTTGGATATTGATTTTGTATCCTGCCACTTTACTGTTTTCACTTGTTACTTCAAGTAGTTTTTTCATGGAGACCTTTGGGTGTTCTAAGTATACCATCATGTCATCTGTGAATAAAGATACTTTCAACTCTTCTTTGCCTATTCGAATGCCTTT